CTTATAGGGATCCTTCCAACTGATCAAGATAATGAAGAAAATGAAGAGCTTGATATTGATGATAATAATGATAATTTGATGGAGAAACTATATGCAGACATTAAAGCACTTAACTTTTAGAATATAATGGATCTTGAGAAATATATTAATTATATGGAGGAAAAGGATATACATGATGTACTTAATAACCAGGAAATTTTAAACCTAGCTACTAACCCAAAATCTGCAGAAAATGAAAGTAACAAAGATGATAGTACAAAAATGTATTCAATTACTCACCAGGAAGCACTAAATACAATAGGCTAATTGAGCAATATATTGTACAACAAGATCTTAACAAAGTGGTCTGAGTAAGTATGATGAAACTTTATTAAAATTACAAAAAGAAGTAAGAAAGTTTTGAAATGCAGCTTTTAAACAAGCGATACTTTACACCAAAGACACCAGAGATCTGATTCAACTAACTTTTCTGAATTTAGCTTTGTTAAAAAAAATTATAAATCTTGCTTCGTTAAAAAAAAAGATAAATCTAGCTTAAAAAAAATATATATATAGATCTTCATAATATTACTAGTTATTTGTTCTTAACAGTAATAGCTTAATATTAAATGTTAACAGAGCTTTTCTTGAATATATTGGTTTTTAAATTGAATTTGTTGTTTCATATGAGAATATAAAGCTTATATCATGTAAAAATTTTATATACATGCATATGTATAACGATAGATTAAAATGATAAGTAATAAAAATTGCAATTTATTATTGGCCAATGACTAGTTATGTGATACAGATCGTACTGTAAAATTATTAGTGATTCTCTAATTGCAACCTTCTTTAAATGTATGCTCTAGAGCCTGGCTCAATGACATTTATTTAGAGAGGGTTGACTGTATAAGTTTATAATAATTATAATATTAAATATAATAATTATAATCTTAAATATCATATAATATTAGTTTTTTTAACTTTTGCAAAGATAATAACAAAAAAAAATAGTAATACCAGATTATTATTTATAATTATTTGCTTTTTTATAACAACCAATTATTGTTTAAAATCAAATTTACTTGATGCATAGCTATTTGATAGCTCTTTCAAATCTATATTATATATATTATACTTTACCTATTTTGAAGATAGGAAAAACTTTACTTCAAAGAGTCAAGAGTAAACAGCTTCAGCTAGTAGTATTGGTAGTGTAGCTCTTAAGTTATAATTGAATTATACTGGATATCTGTTTAATAATATTCTTATCTGCATTCTGTCTATACAAACTTTTTTTCATAAATATGTTACTAAGCACAAAATCCTTTATATATTTGTCTCTATACTTTTTTTATAAAGATTAAATAAGAGTATTTTATCTTTATAAATATAAAAAAAATTAATTTTCTTTATTATATATTGGCCAAAGACTACTGAATCAAATTTTTTTATCATTTATTAGACCAATATATAAAATTGTTTTGTTTATATT